ATAATAATAATAATAATAATAATAATAATAATAATAATAATAATAATAATAATAATAATATTTATTGCGTCACATGTACAATTACAATTGTGTATGAAGAATCAATATGATGTCTTGTGTGGAGAGAGCTAAGTTACATTACTGTTCAGGAGCGAAATAAGGGGCCATCTCAGCATTTGCTTAAGGGACCAGGGAAACTGAACAAAAACCTGATTGAGATGTGTTAGACATTAGATTTTTCATTATGAGGGAACTACAAAACATGTTAGAGGATTTTTATTTCTAAATTTAGCAACTGGATTTACCCACTTTTTCTTTACCAGGGCCCTTTAATAAGAATTGTTCTGCTGAAAATTGGCCGTTATTTCGTATTACGTAACTTTCTCTCTACTCTGTAGCGAGGAAGTAAAAAAAACAACAAAAAATACATTATACAGTACTTCAACTGTATCATATGTTTGCCAGAGCTTTAAAAATCATGTAAACTTCACCTAAAACTGAGGAAGCGAGTGCCTGAAACTGCCTTACCTGTAGCCCCTAGAGATCCAATATTGAGAAACATAAACAACGGGAGAAGCGAAATCAACTATGCTCGTACTTTGCTGCAGGGAGTTGGGACTGGCAGTCCCAGAGGGAAATTGAATCGCAGCAGAACACAGTGGAAGCATTTTGCAAGGTACACACGCACCAGTAGTGGGCTATATTATCATGTAATTGAAAGAAATACTGTTTCGGAATTTTTATCTTAGTATGAAACAAATTAAAATTTTGGAAAAGACTGCAGCCTTGCAGCCCATCCCACCAGCTGCCACTGGTTATAACTCTAACATAAAAACAATATTTTTGAAAGGTTTCTTAGCCCCTGTCCCACCACTTACCTGTCCTCATGGGTCACTCAAACCTGTTTTAAAAGATCTTATATTCTTTGCTTCTGAGTTATTTTATTATGTGTGTTGAATGTGTTATTTTTTGTTTGTCAAAATCTGCAAACTTCTATTTTTCATTGGATATCTGTTCGATGCAGGTGGTAGGTTTTGACTGAGGTGTAATTCTCTATTCACCAGTATCACACTTAAAAGGTTTTGTGTTAGTGCCAAAATAAACTGCCAAAAACTAGAGAATTTGAAGTCAAGGTGATTTAAAGTCAGGAAAATGGTAAAAATGTGTTGTTTTTTTCTTTTTTACTGCAGTCCGGCGGTTGAAAAAATCTGAAAAAAGTTCACAACAATTTTGTTTTGGAGGTTTAAATTATATCCTTTTTTTCTTCAATTTTTTCCCAATCAAATTAAATAGAGTTAAGTCGACATGGGGCAAAACCAACACTTTTTGGCTGGCTGGCAGAGGCAGAGGGGTGTAAGTGGTGGGACAGGGGTTAGAAACCTTTTGTTAGTTATAGTGTAACGACTCAGATGTAATTTGGTGTAGAGGAACTTTTTACCGTCTTATACAGGGGTACCCTTTAAAAATGACCTGTAAAAATGAAATTTTTCCATGAGGACATTGATCAATCCTCTCATTTTGCAATAAAACAATTTTTTTTCCTTTTTACTACGTGAAAGGTGTGTGCTCCATAACGCTGCAACATATTTCAGCTTGCCTAACATTTATCACTGCTGAGAAATTCTGTCATGCTCTTTTGTATGAAGTAGTGGACTGATTTCAGCAAAGTGGATAATACCAGTGATATGATTTAAAATCACTTCAAAATATTTGCCAGAATCATCATTCAATGTAATTTAAGGAATAGAAAATAATGATCTTTTCTAGACTACTTCTGGCCCGTGACTATTGGGGAAAGCTTTTAATCTGCATTACATATTTATAAGAATCAGCTAATACAACATAGTTTTTGCTTAATTAGATTTAACAGTCTTCAGAATTATACAATTTTTTTTGATCCAGTTCCTTTTTATTTATGGGCAATCAAAATATTTTAATGATTTTTTGTTGACTTCGGAACAAAAATGCTAGTATTGAAAATCTAGGATATATTTACTAGATAAATTAGAAATAAAACATGAAACATTCCTCACAAAATTCTAAATTTTGGAGAGAAGATGAACACAAAAATGATGTACGTTCCATAGATTCTCAAGGATTTAGTTGACTAGTTTCCTGGGATGTGGATCATTCCCTTTATAATTACACGTTATCTATTTGATAAAACTTTCCCACAAACACGTCCTAACAGTGTAGATATGCCATAATTAAAATAACATCTACATTTTCTTTTTGAGAGATTTTTGAATATTTTCTTAACTTTCTTATTGAAATACTCAAATATGAAATGAGAATAATATTAAAGTAGTGAGCATGAAAAGCACCGTAAGTTGCGTCATTACCACAAAAGTACATCTTCAAATTCCAAGCACTTTCTTTTGTAATTACAAGGATTTTAATTCTACTAATTCTACATACAATAACAGATTAGAAAATTTTTAGATACATAACTCCCACAACCATGTCACAAAAATAAATCAACAGAAAAGGAAACTTGAAGTTCATAAAAGAAAGAAGTTTGGAAGAACGACCAACTAACAACAAAATTGTACTAATAAACATACTAATTAATAATGCCAATAATTTTCTCAGCACTAATATAATCCATTTGCTTCCTTCTAATGTAGAAGTCCTATGGAAA